TAAAACAAACTTATTGATTTGCTGGCGACATATCTTATACATGAATGACCAGTTGGGATTTATTACAGCACCCTCTTAACCACATGGTCATGACTAAGGTAGCATAGATGTCCCCATTTTCTTCCCCTAATACTAGCCACCAAGACCACCCATCCCTGTAAGGAATAAACAGACCACACCCCAAAATGGCATTAAATGGCCTTAGCAGCCTTTTATTGAATAATTTGATATAAAACATAACTACATAAACAATTTCAACATCCGTCAGAAATACATAAACCAAGTTGCAGGTCTTTGAAGGCCACACCTTTTCTTTATCCGTTCTATGCGTCAGTACTACAACATTATAGGCCCCCAGCCGCAACACACCGCCTCGGGGACAACCACCAACTGACCGCATAGACTCCAAATATCCAATAGTGTTCACAAGCTTACACACCATGAATAGAGGACACATACCAAGACAGGTTACACCCCAAACATTAACCACCAGCACCTATTATTTGATGGCCTCCAAAGACCCCAACCGCATATATACCCAGAACCTAACAACAAAAAAGGGCAGGAGGGTGTGAGGGAAGTTCATTCCTCGTCAGACAATCTCCAACTGCTGAAGAGAGGACCCTCCTACTCGGACCAGCGTTCAAGCTCCACCTAACCTTTTATCTTGACCTGTCTAATCAGGTAAGTGACCTTGTCCAAAGACTGAACCCTCGTTAACCCTTTTGTAACTTGTCACCCCTATACACCTAGTCATGTATGTCGTCCGCTTATTTATTTGTTTTCGCTTCGGGCCTTCCTGTACCAGTGTGATAAGAGAGAGGAATATGCTCCATGGGGCATCAGGTAGTTTCAGGTATGGTGAAAGCATAACACCCCCTGTCTCTACATCATACAGTGCTGGGTATCTAAGTGGCCAATTATGAGGCCACAGTACTGTCACATGAGGCCGGTGAAGAGCCTGCTGAGCCCCTTGTGGGTTTAGACTTTCAGAAGGATACCTGGGAAGTTTGGGGCACTTTGGCTCGGCACGACAGTGGCACATGGGGCAGATGGGAACAGCCTGCCAGTGATTCCTCCTGCAAAGTGAACCTGTTATTTTGTGTAATATGGACAATGTACCAATTCACCTTGTGAAGGGTTAACACACGGGTCTCTATTTAGTTATTTTTGGTTACAGCTGTAGACTGCATCACCGATAAAACTGTGTCTATAACCGCAGAGTAGCAATGTAACCAAAACCACCAGAATGAAATATTGATACTGTTTTATAGCCTCAGTTAAGTGTACACAGTGCAGGAGAAGATTTCCTGATGCATAATACATAACATGCATCACATATATGTTAGAAAGTATCTGTAATGCAGAACATTAACATTCGCCACTCGCTTTATTGATGCCTAAAAGGAACATTTTTGGACACAAATATATGACTTATTTTGAAAGGTGTAAGCTCCGGAGCTGACATGGTCATCTTTCCATTTTTTGTTCTTAAAGGTATAGGCTCTGGAGCTGACATGGTCATCCTTCCATTACTTGTTCCTAAAGGTGTAACTTCTACAGGAAGTGCATTATTGGCAGGATCACCAAGAGAAAAAAGTCTGGAAAAAGAAAACTAATGCAACTGCCACATCTAATAACTGGTAGGCTGCAAAATATTACATTTGGGTTTTGATACACTTTAATATGCAGTCATTTCCTATAGGTCTGAGTACCCATGGGCTGCCCAGCGAGGCGGCCATGTTGTGCTGTGACCCTGTATTGATGAGGGTGGAATGTAATCAAGCTTTTACTTTGCTTTTGCTTTCCCAGTTGAGATGGAATGAATTAGATTTCTCCTCCACGTACATATGAGCTTATACACATACAAGAGTAATCTCCCGTGAATGACATCAGATGCTCTCCTCGGCCTCTTCCACTCTCCGGAGGATTTGTTGGCGATTTGGTGACATGCGTTCTTTCTTCTCCAGTACGCCGGTGTCTTATGTGTCGTCTTCTGTTTATAGTAGCGCTAAGCCCTCCGTATAACGATGCGCCTTAACGTGTTTGAGCCGGAGACATTAGAAGATTAAGCGACCTGCCCAAGGTCATGAGATGGAAGGGGAATCAAGGAGACGCTCCCAGTCCCGACAGGTCCATTGTTCTCCATCAGTGGAATTATTGACTGGTCTACACCCTCCTCTGTCACCTGACTGGAATGTCTCCCCAAAAAGTCATTTATTGTCAGCGAGCCTGGAAACTGTTAGAGATTAGAGACAAGATAGACGTCCTTGGGAATCTAGAAGATATATCATTAAGTGGTGGCTGAAACCATCGAAGATCTCCGCTTAGTATTATTTTATCTAAACTGAGGGCGCAATGTCCCTTTAAATGAGAAAAAAAAACAGGTTTGTTCAATATAAAATACATGAAGCCAATTAATAGTACCAACATCCCTCTCTGCCTCCAAATAACCTAAACACATTCATTAATAGCCACAAAGGATATAAATTCTCCTTGTGTGCATCAAATGCAACCCAAGATATTACCATATACTGTAAGGGCCTGTTCACACCACAAAGACTGCGCTCCAGAGCGTTTGGCCTCTGGAACGCAAGCCGGCCAGCTCCCTGCGTTCAGGGGCGGGAGGGGGCATGGCGGTGCATAGAAGTCAATGGCACTGCAGCCACCCCCCGTTCCCAGTGCGATCGCCCACACCCGGAACGCAGACACATTAGTGCCTGCGTTCCGGTCCAGTGCGATCTGCACAAATAGTACTTGAACCTGTGCAGAGAGCAGAGCTGTGAGAGGGGCCCAGCAGGACTCACCTACTGCAGACTGCCGGCAGAAAACTATAGGAGGGGGCAGAGACAAGACCAGTCACCCTGCACAAGGAGAGAGAGCAGCAGTGACTGGTCTTTATAACAGGAGGGAGCGGAGAGAAGACCAGTCACCCTGCAAAAGGGGAGAGAGCAGCAGTGACCGGTCTTTATTACATGTGGTAGTGGAGACAAGACCAGTCACCTTGCACAAGGAGAGAGAGCAGCAGTGAGTGGTGTTTATAACAGGAGGGGGCGGAGACAAGACTAATCACCTTTCACAAGGAGAGAGAGCAGCAGTGACTGGTCTTAATAAATGAGGGGGCGGAGACAAGACCAGTCACCATGCACAAGGGTAGAGAACAGCAGTGACCGGTCTTTATTACAGGAAGGTCTGCTTAGTCATTGCTGGGAGGAGGGAGCAGGGGAAGCTGAGCTGCTGAGTGACTGCTGGGAGGGGGAGCTACCTTGCTGAGTCACTGCTGGGAGAGGGAAACAGAGGATTTGTGCTGCTGAGTCATTACTGAGAGGCGGGGAACAAGGTAAGAGTAGCTTCTGATTTCAGTGCATTTTGAAGATGCTTTGATCCACAGTGCCTGCAGCTACAGAGTTCAGTAGGGGCTTATTTTAAAGCTCATTTTCTGCACGTCTAGAGTCGTTTGTATGTATAGAATGTCCATAACCTGGCCACAGGTTCACGTTACAACAGGACAGATAGAGACACCAAAAAGTTCTGGGCACCCAGTTCAGAAGATCAGCTAATCTGCATATTTGCGGCTCTCTCCGCTTAAAGCACTGAGAACAAATTCACTGATTGTATTTGGAGATCTAAGCAGCTGTGCTATTACAATCTAGCAGACAAGTTCTGTTGAGACTGAAGGTCAGTATAATATTGACCTCTCTTCAGTCTAGTGAATTTCATACCAGAGTGCTCCTTTAAAAATAAATCAAGCAGACGCCACTTGTGAGCCTCTCAGAAGCCACGGAGGGACTGGCTAAGCGATGGAAGTTAGTGCTTCACCTCTAACATAATAATGGCTCCCTCGTTCCCCCTTATTGGAAAATGCTGTTTTAGGTTTTTTTTTTTTCCACAGCTTCTTCTGAGCGTTGCTTCTCATTCAGGCTGATATCCAATTTAGAAAAAGCCCTGAGCGAAAGCACTCTTTATACCATGATATCTTCCCAACCCGGGAAAATTGGATTTGCTTCAAGTATGGCTCTTCCATTGTGATTTCCTTATTGTTTTAGAATTCATATCTGCTTGATGCCTTTTCAGTGGTTGGCATTTTATCAGGAAACATCAAGCAGAATGCGGGTTCACTACTATCTAGAGAGGGGTGGTCACCATACAAAATGGGTGAATGTGAAATAAGTGCAGTAATAAACAATTTGGGGTCTATTTCTAAACAACTCGCAGAGCCATGTACCCTGCAAATCTCTGTGAATGTTCATTCTGTGCGAATAGAGGCAAAAATGAACATTCTTGCATTTCCTTTTCAGGTCAAATGTATTGCAATAACAAATTATGGCCACTAGATGGAGATAAGGAGCATAGAACATATTCATGCTCATCAGCTCCATCTAGTGGCCATAATACATTATTACATTACTTATGATTTACACAGGTTGCAGAAGAACATTTAAAGCTACAATTGCATCATATGTTTCGAGTTCTCAGGTTCTCTTGATAAGACATCCCCACTACCTTCCACGTTCTCCTATGTGGATCTATTCACCTGCAAGAGCCGTTGAAATTACATGGTATGGGGGAGAGCTTCTGTCCTTCTCCCCTTCCTCCCACAATGCAGTGCATTGCACCTGAGCGGCCAATCGCCAGGGTCAAGTATGGGCATGTGTGGGCCGGCGGTAGGCCATTAGCCTTGTGCACAGTCCATCATGAAGCTTACATAGTGCTATTCACTGTGGAGTTCTAACAAACAGGGTGGCAGGGGGTGTGAGAAAGGAAAGTATCACCTGATGCCGGGGGGGTTTATTAAGTCATATTCAAAGCTTTACTTCAATTTGCCCAGTACCTGTGCAATTAAACTTGATCGCTTGTTATTAACATTATCTAAACTTTTGCTTTAGTTTATTTATTTTCGTCCTTGACGTTTATTTTACTGGATGTTATAATTTAGAATTTTGGGTTTTCTTTTAATTTTGTCTGAAACTAATGCGTATTTCCTATTTTTTTTATGGCAGAATGATCATCATGCCTCCAGGAACTGTTCTCCTTACTGCTTTGTGTTTCCTTGGGACAACTGTCATGGGCGCACATGCCTATGTCACGTTTTCACAGAACAAAACCATGTTCAACCACCTCACCTTGGATACCAATACAGGGACTCTGTATCTTGGAGCTACAAACTACCTTTATCAGCTCACTGAGGACCTGAAGTTGGAGAAGGAGCCGGTACAGACTGGACCAGTTTGGGATAGCAAGGACTGCTTGCCCCCTGTAACTACAGAGTGCGCCCATGTACAAAACACCAACAACCACAATAAGCTTCTGCTAGTCGTTCCAAGTCAAAACGAGCTGATAGTCTGTGGCAGCGTTTTCCAGGGTATCTGTGAGAAAAGACTTTTGGGATCCATTGATGACGTCCTCTTCCGACCAGAAAGACCAGTGGACTCCCAGTATGTTGCTGCAAATGACCCGAATGTCACCACAGTTGGTCTGGTTGGGCTTTCTAAGGATAGTACACCCCTCTTGTTTGTGGGAAGGGGCTACACAAGTAAAGGGGTCGGTGGCATTCCTCCAATCACCACTCGGAACCTCAACGCGGGTGCTGAACCCCATTCCGTCTTTTCCTATGAGGAGACTGCTAAGCTAGCAGTAGTAGGGAGACTTTCAGAGTACAACCACCACTTTATTAAGGTCTTCACCCACCGGTCCAATGTTTACTTCCTCTTCTATCGCCGTGACTTAAAATCACCATCTCGGGAGTATAAGACCTATATCTCCCGTATCTGTCCCGATGACTCCCATTATTATTCTTATGTTGAGTTGCCCCTTAGCTGCCAGACAAGAGATGGTTTGAAGGCCTACAACCTTCTCCAGGCCGCCTACATCGCACAGCCTGGAGAACACCTTGCTAGAGGGGTTTTGAACACCAGAGGAGATGTGCTGTTTGCTGTGTTCTCCATGTGGCATGCGGCATCTGGGAAAGTAAGCGAGGAATCAGGATTGTGTTTGTACTCCATGGAACATATCGACAGACTGATCAATCGGACGAGAGACATCTGCTACACCAGGGATGGCAAGGACGAGGATAAGAGAGAAGTGGCCTACATAGAGTATGACGTGAAATCTAACTGCGTTCACCTTCCGAATGTGAGTATTTCTTTGTGTCCGTAATTAAATTCTGGGAAAGTGGAATTTAAGAATATGGGAAACAATAAAAAAGTCCAGACTATTGATGGTGGCTCCTCTTTATAGCATGTTATCATTTTAATGTTGGTTGAACCTTGTTTCTTCTATAGCACTGGTTTGATGCAAATGATCCCTTATGGTATTGGTAGATGTGGTTTAAAATATGTTCCACCCTTATAAGCTTTGTTCATAAAAAGGCCTAGAGTTTCAAAAGCAATTGTTTGTCTTTGATGTTTTTCCGTCCTTAACTAACATTATCTGGTCAGCATCTCTTCACAAATTTAGTATGTGGTGGAGTAAAAGGTACCATCTGATGTGGGCCCAGCTAGAATTCTAGACCATTCACTGTGTTGATAAGGAATAAGGTCAATGGTAGAGATTAGCAAGTCAGTCTGGATTGTTCTGATTTGCAGATGGCTGATCTCTGTGAATATCAGGTAATCCACTGGATCATTATTTTGGCTTCATTTTAATGCAATTTAGTCACACAAAGAAAAAAAAGGATGCCCTTCTGCACATGGTGGGTGCTTCTAGAATGGGCCCTCCTCTCAAAGAACCTTTGATGCCCTAGGATAGGAGAATGTGCAATTTCCCTTTACATAAGGCATAATACTTGCAGGTGGGAACCTGGCAGACCAAATTGGGAAAGTGGATTGGCCAGACCATTGGCAGTGGACATTTTTGATTATGCTCTAGTTAAAATCTATAGTCTTTATCCCTACTAGGGGTGATTCACTATCTTTATTTATGCTGGTGACCAATCTTGAGTTGTCACTGGAACACTAATAGAGTTGAACCTTAGAACAGCAACACCTTAGACCAAGGGGAGGCAAATTCCGGCCCTCCAGCTGTTGTAAAACTGCAAATCCCATTATGCATCTGCCTCTAGGGAGTCTTGCCTGTGGCTGCCATAGTGTTGCAATGCATCATAGGATTTTTAACTGCACCACAGCTGGAGGGCCAGAGTTTGCCTATACCTACCTTTTAGGCCCGGTGCAGACCTGAGCGATCCGGTATTGCGGGCGGGTCCCGGAATCGCGCGGTCCTGCACAATGCAGGCAGCGATTGCCGCGCGGCCCCGTTGATTTCAATGGGGTGACATCTGCACATCCATCGCAGAAAAAAGGTACATGACGCGTGGCTGTTTTAGCTCCGATCGTGTTCGGAAACAGCTGCGGAATCGCAACTGGGGTGCCATTTTAAAATAATGACACCCACTGGACGACCGTCTGTGCTAGGCAACACCGTGACCGTGCGGCAATCCGCGTGGAATTGTGCACGATTGCTGCGCGGTGAGGTGTCGCCTAGGTGTGCACCGGCCCTCAGACCGGTGGGGTCTAGAACAGAAGGTGAAAGGAAATCTGCCCAATAGGAGACAAAACATAACTGACAGTGTTTGTATCCATTCCCTACTATATCCAAAACTAAAAAAAAGTTTTGGTGGCCGCAGGAAAAATCAATGAAATGCAAGTGTTTGTTCTGTAAAACAAATAGCTGGATTCAGATTGGAGTCAGCCCTCCATTGTCCACATCCATGTCGTAGCTCCTGGAAATGTTTATAGTTTGTGCCTAAATGATGAAGACATGATGTATATATGATAAATGTTACCTTAATACCAATCAAAGAGTGAAAATGCCTGGGATGTTTATCACAATAGACTGTTAAGGTAAAACTAAAACCAAAACCTTCTTTCCAAATCCTTCCATATTCATTTGTACTAGTTCAGCTCCCCAAGGCCGTAGCCTTGTGTTTGTCAATCATTACTCTGCATGCCATTGGATCTAGGCTACATGTCTGAGAATATATTTTTTTTGACTTGCAATTGTAGGACACCCTTGAAGCCTACCCATGTGGATCAGACCATACACCGAGCCCCATGGCCAGTTGGGAACCCTTAAGAGAGACCCCTGTGTTCGAGAGTCCCTATGCACGGCTCACCTCCATCGCTATCAATGTGGAAGAGGAGCACACCATTGCTTTTATAGGTGACAGCAAGGGATATCTTAACAAGGTAAGTGACATAGTAAGATCGACGGTGGAAATATGGCACGGGTAGGCAACCTCAGCACCCCAGCTGTGGTGGGACTAAAAAAATCCCATAATGCCTCTGTCTCTGGGATTCATGCATGTGGCTGACAGAGTCTTGTAATGCCTCATGGGACTTGTAGTTCTACAACAACTGGAGTGCTGAGGTTGCCTACCCCTTTTTACCTAATTTATGAAAATATACTGTAACAAAGTAGACTTTATTATACAATATTATGATTTTACTATAACTATTCTCTGGTGACATCAAATAATGAAGACAGATCCTATTCTTGAACTCATTTGAATATAGTATGTTGAACATATTAGGCTCAAATAACAAAGCTAAAACACCAAGATAATGACACTTATTTTTGAAAAAGTGACAGTTATTTTCAGCCTAGTCCAATGAGATTTGGAAATTACAGTCACATGACTGCAAATAAAGATATGTATCCTTCTTTAAAACTCTGTGAACTGAGCCGTTTGTCTGTAGCAGCCAGGCACATTCCAGCAACCCATTTTTTTATTCAGGGTAGCAAGATGACAGCTAACACCTGATTGGTTGTTTTCAGCGACATCCCTGTTTTGCCTTTATTTTTTTATCAAACTGGACCGATACCTGAGCAATAGAAGGGCTCGAATACTTAAAGGAAACTATGGGGTCAGTGTTTTTACCCATAGTTCTCCTAAGGTCACGGGAGGAGATAAACTAGCGTCCTTCCATGACCCAAAGCACAGTATATCGCATGCTGCAGCTCGCGGTATACTGAGCCGGGACGGATCCTGACATTACTGTCGAGATCCACCAAGCTGTGTGAGTAACAGCGGGCTCTGCCTATCTAGAGGCAGAGCCAGCTGTGCCTGCCCCCTGCCCCGTTCATTCTTCCACTTAGCACTGGAGGATCGGAGATGGGAGGAATCCCTGCGGGGAGCGGTGAGTGATGGTATGTGTTTGCTCACTTCCCGATCCATCAGTTTCATTGTCACACGTCGGCTCGAACTATGAGGCTGAGTGATTTTCACTCACCTCATAGTTCTCCTTTAACCTTTGCTGGGAAAAATGGCGCTCTAGGCTCCCTTCTATGCTAATCACATGAATGAGAAAAAACACTTGATTTTGAGGTATTGTATTCTCACAGCCAGGGCCAGCAGCTGTCAGAATACAAAAACCCAAACGGTGGCTGCATCTGATTGGCCGGCATCACTGTTTGGCTGTCAGTTTTCAGGCTGGCTCCTTCCAAAAAAGTTTGATTGAAAAATTGATTCAGCAGAAATTCAAGCCGCGTATGGCCAACTTTATATGGAGAAACACCTTAATGGTCATTGTATAAATATAGATTAAGCCAGAAGCGCACAATTGACACGCTATGCCAGTATTTCCGAAATCTGATTTTTGCAGCAAGGAAAACAAAATGTTAATCCTGGATACCAGAGCCGGGGGTGACTCGTGATCTTTTGTTAATGACGTTGTTGTTTGCCAGCCCGTGGCCGACCTTGTGGCTGTAAGCGGCTAATTTGTTCTCAAGCAAATTCCTGCAGCCTGTTCACCTGGATCAAATGGTATTATGACAATTTCCTGTTCACATGGGCAGGGTGAGGAGGAGGGGTAGAGGGGTCTGCGGGGATGAGGGCACAGTGGAGTACAGATTTGTAGAGGGATCATTGTAGAGTTCATGAAACCAAAATAAAAATGTGCTACCTAAATAGAACCAGTGTTCACAAAGGATTATAGGAAAAATTGCAGAAGTGAGACCCGGAATGGCTCAGCGGCTTTCTTTCCTGATTAGGAAATGAGAGATTACCGGCATTATCAAACTTTTACTCTGCAATGCTAAATGTTTGCCTTATAGCAGACACAGTAAGCATCACATATTCCCTTTTCCCGCACCCCTTTGCAACGTTACTGACCACCAGAACCTTAAAAAATGTGACGCTCCCCCCGCCTGCCCCAATACAGCACTCAACCCAAGAACAGCCAATCAACAGCCCTGAGTTCCCAGTCAGCACCACACGGTTTGATAAAAGTTGATTTTTCTATCGACTTTTGTCGAAGGTGTAAATTTGTTGACTGCAAACAATCAACTGCATAGCTATATGGGCATTCCGACCGCCATGGACACCAGTTCTACGGAGCCAGGAATTCACTGTAGTTATGATGGAAGCCCATTATAACGGGAACATTGGGTGTGGAGAGCCAGGAACTCAGTGTAGTGATGGCGGAAGCCCTATATAATGCAATCATTGGGTGTGGAGAGCCAGGAATTCACTGTAGTTGTGATGGAAGCCCATTATAACGGGAACATTGGGTGTGGAGAGCCAGGAACTCAGTGTAGTGATGGCGGAAGCCCTATATAATGCAATCATTGGGTGTGGAGAGCCAGGAATTCACTGTAGTGATCGTGGAAGCCCATTATAATGGGAACATTGGGTGTGGAGAGCCAGGAACTCAGTGTAGTGATGGCAAAAGCCCATTATAATGGGAACATTGGGTGTGGAGAGCCAGGAACTCAGTGAAGTGATGCCGGAAGCCCATTATAATGGACACATTGGGTGTGCAGACCCAGAAACTCAGTTTAGTGATGGTGGAAGCCAATTATAATGGGCACATTGGGTGTGCAGACCCAGGAACTCAGTGTAGTGATGGTGGAAGCCAATTATAATGGGCACTTTGGGTGTGCAGACCCAGAAACACAGTATAGGGATGGTGGAAGCTGCTTATAATGGGCACAGCACTTGTGTGGACCCAAGAACTCAGAGCAGGGATGTTGGAAGCCCCTCATAATGGGCACAGTGGGTGTGTGGGCCCAGTAACTCCTAACCAGTGTAGGGATGGTGGAAGCCCCTTGTAATGGGCAGACCCAGGAATTCAGTGCACATATCACCCATAGAGCCCCCAAGAGATAGAAGAGAACATCAGATGGTTCAGCTCTCCAGAATCCATCAACCACTCTTTAACTCTATAACTTCCTCAATTCAACTGAAAATTAAATATTGGGTAGAAAACAAATTAATTGATTGTGCTCCGTTCTTGATGAGTTTTAGGGAAGAACAAAAAGATTGTCATTGTGTAGGGGTGTAAGGTTGGGCCATGTAGGAAAAACAGGTAAAATGCCAATATGTGTGTCTTGTAAATCCCTAATCAGTTCACTCTAAGCTGATAAATGAACCTGGCACAATTCTGTGTAACTTCAAGTAATTCTCCGAGCCGGATGACCTCACTCATGGACAAGTCTGAACACACAATATTACATTATTGTTTTGTCTTACAAGGTGGGTGTGTTGGCGGGAAAATAAAGAACACATCACTTTTGGCAATTAACGTCCATGTTTAAAGGGAAGTCATTGTCAGCGAGATGTTTTTGTAATGTTCACCTAGAGTTATGTTTATTGGGGCTTTCTAGAGATTACAAGTGTAGCCGTAAAATTACTAGAAGTGCCAACAATTCCGTGACTTGGCTGCAGGTAGAAGGAACTCCAACTTGACTTGTTTAGAGGAGAATGTATCACCAATAGCAAGCCAGAGTGGTTCTGTCATCAGAGATGATAATACTCATCAACA